TTGAGTAAAATCATGTTGTTTTGCATTTTTTGGCGTTTTTTGATGTAGTAACCATGGTTTTCACAAGTCCTAAATCTTAGAAAATCACTTTTTGAACAAAAAATCATTCTTCTTAAAAAAATGAATTCAAAATGTTGTTTATAAATATAAATATATATGTAGGTGTGTTGTGTAGGATGAATCCGCTATCCATGTTTATCTGAGATATGCCCTTTATTTTTAGGATCAAGCCATTTCTACTGTACTCTGCTACCTTATACTCATAGATATTGATTTTTTCTGAAAAACGCCTTTTTATGCTTGATTCAGCTTCACTTTCATTCATTATTGCTTAAAACTAATCAAAAACGTTTAAAAGGTTATACATACAGGTCAATATATCGGTCAATGGCCTGATACCTGTGGATGTTTAAAGGGGGGTAACTCGCCCTTTTCACAGGCACTTCACAATTCATCACATATGTGTCAATTGTGTTATTGCTTAAGTTGATAACAAACAAGAAATAATTTACAGGCTATCTCCTGATGCATTCATACTAGATTTCAGTCTGTTTCACTCAGTTCAGCACCCGGTATCCATGGTTACTAATACATAAAGTTGTATTTATCGAAAATGGGTAAAATATCTATTTTCATTCTAATAACACTATTTTAGATGTTTTTTTCCACTTGATTCAGCATACAGATTAAATTAGCAAAGTCAGTGATATCAATACATTTTATTTCCTTAATTACAGCTGAAGAAAATCTTTTTTTTCTAGCGAAATATGTTAAATGAACAAGTTCTGAGGGTCACTGTCAATTCTATGCGAGGAAAGTAAATAACAGTTGCTATGGTGACACTTGTCTGATTTTACAGAATATCTGACATTTTGGTGCTGTTCATCTTTTACTGGAAGTGTGTCTGTTGCTAGTTTGTTGTTGTGATGGGTTTCCTAGTGTTCATGTCATAGATGCCCATTGATGACGTCATAGTTATGATAACATCACAGTTACTATGTCGTCATCAAACAAAACAGAAACATCGTAGTATTACTGTACTGTTTTGTTTTACATATGCACATGATCTCAAAGCATCATATTTCACCCAAAAAGAAATCTTATTCATGAAAACTAAAAACCTATTCAAGTTTTCATTTTTCAGATTACCTCCCTTTGTAAAGTGAGAAAGAAAACGAACACATCGTTTTGTTCATTGTGTCATTTTCCAGACATTTAAAAGATTTTAATGAAATTTTGGGAAAAACAAAGTGATGTATCGGGTAGTAGTGTACAGTAGCGTACGATGGTCATGGGTGATATTTTTTGTACAATGAATAACCCATGTAATATTACATGTATCAAAATTTGAAAAACAATCAGCACTTAAATTGAACGACCTATGCTCAAACGTGAGTATTTCTGGTACCGAGTAGGTGATATTCAATTTAAGACAGGTTTTAAGAAAAAAAACTAGTTGCGTGGGTCAAATTTTGGGTTAAAAATCATGTTTTTTAGCATTTTTTGGCGTTTTTTGTTGTAGTAACCATGGTTTTCACAAGTCCCAAATCTGGGGAAATCACTTTTTGAAAAAAAAATCATTCTTTTAAAAAAAATGTATTCAAAATGTAGTTTGTAAATATAGATATATATATGTAGGTGTGTTGTGCAGGATGAATACGCTATCCATGTTTATCTGAGACATGCCCTTTATTTTTAGGATCAAGCCATTTCTACTGTACTCTGCTACCTTAGCCGCGAAATGAGCATACTTGTAAGTGTATAAATCTGAAGCAAAATTAGAACTAAAAATATACATTTATCGCCACCCTACACTATCGAATATCAAGGTCTTCAGACCACTTTATCTTAAAATGAGTATTTATTTTCAGAACGACAGATATGAATTAAGACATCAATAAATTCAAGTCACAAGAACTGGAGTATACAAATTGAAAAACAGGTAAGTCTAAATTTTACGAATTTCCAAGATAGTATTGGAGATTCGATTTTACTTATGCAAAAGGAAAATGAAAAACAAATCAATAGGGAAAACATATGTTATGGATAAAAGTTGCTTGAGTGTAGTTCACAGCGCATGTCTAAAACATGTTCAAAGTCAGCAATGTTATGTAACGTCTCTTATACATGGAAGCCGTACTAGCCACGTCCTGCACGAAATTTTTGACCCCTTAGGGAATCATTTCTTAAGTCCACGAACAGTTCCTAATATTACATATGTACATCTACTTCCGGTAAGGCCATATATAGGACAGAAGTGGCGGGGATTAGTTAGAGCTGGCCTGATCTCCACACAGAAAGGTAAGATACTGTACATGTTACACCTCTGTTATAGTTTAAATATCAGCATGTAAATCTCTTGATATTTTACCTTAAAGAATGTGTATGTGAATTCAGTGATAGAAGAACGAGACATTGGATCAATAACGTTTCATGGTTTATACATTTTAGCGTGTGAACATGTAAGACATTTGAAGTTTTCAAGGTACAATTACCTGAGTATACTAGTATATCTTAATAGGTAAGATATCAAAATAATAAAATTAGTTCTCATGAGAAGGTGTAGGAAACTTGACATATTAATATTCTAACTAAAATCCCTGCGTAGATACCTAAATAGGTAAGATCTCAAAATAATGTCTTCCATTGTTGTCAACTTAAAATATAATTTAATAATGAACAATTCAGTCGAATAACGTTTAAATGTGACAATTGATGTATACACATTTTTTGACGGGGTAGCTTTATTTGACAACTTACGTTTTGCTACTACTCTACATATAGTAGGCACGTTAGTCTAGTGGTAGGACGCCGGACTCGTGACCGAAGGGTTGCAGGTTCGAGTCACGTCACGGTACTGTGTGGTAGCTTTGAACAAGATGCTTTACTCCGCTTGTTCCAGTCTACTCAGCTGTAAATGAGTACGTGGTTTGGCAGTGCTAGACTTGTAGAATGCTAACTGTGAGCGCCGAAATGGCAGCACCGGCTGTATGCTCCCCATGGAGTTGGGAAAGATATTGGCTAGTTGCAAAGACCCTATAACCACGGATAATGATTTGTGAATCGCTTTGAGACGACCTACGAACTAGGTTGTGATAAAGCGGTATATCAGAACCTCGAATTATTATTATTATTTTTATTACATGAAAATATATAAGAAGTATTCTCACATATATTATAGCAGATATATGCACATTTTAACACATTTTGCACAAATCCGATAGCGTTAATTGAATTATAATAACCGCTTAAAATAAAATAAAATTAGTATGCATGTTAAAAGTAACGGAATCGCTAAATACTGATGCGTAGAAAACCTCATAGTTAAGGTCGATCCGCGGAACATCATTGTGCTAATAAAAGTAAGTTTGCTATGTAAGTAAATAAAAGTTGTCTGTTTTGTGAATACGATGAAAACGTAAGGTTACGCGTGTAAATGTAGACTTAGATATTAGGTTCAAGTCATATTTTGTATGTTGCCATATACATAAATGTAAATAAATGTAAATTTAAAAGTAATGAAACACTGTTATAAGATACTGATAATTACCCTTTACAGCTACAAGATGAACAAGTGTCTCGCCCTGATCCTGATCCCATGTCTAGTGGCCTTTGTTGTGGCCCAGTACCCCGGATATGGTACCCCCGGGTACGGGATGGCAGGCTACGGTTCCGGTAGCGGTCTGAGTAACTACTACTACAACTACGGAAACCAACAACAGAAACAGAGCTCCAATTTCGCTCTCTGTAAGTAACAGATATGTCACAATATATAATAATATGTTATTCCTACACATTATATTATTAATGTACATAACTTAAAAATGAATAAATGAAATTTCACGATATCTAAATTATATATAGTATGAGTGAGAAAGGTCAGTCAGCAAATTTATGGAGGAGGTGGATTGCAGCGCCCGTGTATCCGTCTTAATCCGCCCCTCGTCAACATTATCTTATTACGATCAGCATTAACGCCATTCCTCTTTACTTTTGGACCATTCCTTGTAACATTCTCCATTATTAACGTTTGACCACCCAAGTAACGTCCGAACCTTTATTTATTTCAGTGATCTCTGGTCTCCTGCTGTTGTTCGCCTTCAACATAACCGGAACCCTGACTGGTTAGACGTAACCCAGGGAGGTGGAGATCGGCCGGGTACTCATAAAAATCATGGTGGGTAGGGGTTGTAAATCCCCCTAAACATTTTAGTTTGCAAAATAAAAGTGTTTTTTTAATCAAATATATTCGACTTTAAATGATGTTAAAATATGTTAATTCTACCTCGTTTGCAGTAAAACTATGAAAGATTGATAAAATGTATTTGAAATGTGCTCAATCCTTGTATAGTTCGTACTTCATCAGTTCTTTATCCCTTATTATTAGTTATAATCGTGTTTTGTTGATTTCAGATTCCACAGGACTACCAAACATAGCTGTGATATTGCGCGATGTATCTGTACTGTTGCTGTTGTTGTTATTGCTATTTATTACCATTATTAAAAACACTGTCCAAAACAAATTCACTTGTTATCAGTTATTGTTACTACGTAGATGATTAATATATATGTCAATCAAAGATGAAAGTTACAACACAAGATGATTGCACTTTTAGAAATGGGTAATTGATACAGTATGCCAACATTGAATTACGCCACACAGGAACACGAGAAAAATATTGTATTGTGAGTTGTAGGTGGGGTAGCTCATCCCCAGACAACCCACGAATGATGTATATATGCCTGAGTAATTAAATATATTGTTACGAATACACTGTCTACTGATATGTAGATTTCACCCATGTTATAAGACATGAGTTGTTTGACGTAAATACGATTTGTAAGAGACATTTCCAATAAATATCTTCCAGCTACGACTGTGTCTCGTTCAAAATGGCAGACAGACAGACAGACAGACATTCTTTATTTCCTCCATTAGGAGATTTCATATGTCAAAACAGTTTTACAAAATGTGTCTTACTTCATATATATACATCGTTTTGAGAAGTAAATGTATTAAATAATGACGTATTGGACATTCATATAACAGCATTATATAATTCATAATACAAAATGTTCACTACAATATATATTCCTCATACATCTTTTACATATATACGTTTACACTTATATATACATCAATAGGTTAATTATAGAAAACTCTCCATCTCACATACCATTCCTTTGATATTTCCAGCCATATTTATCATTAGTGTTTCCCACTCTATATCAGTCAAGTATACATGTGAATGATCGCCAAGTAAAAAGCTGCACTGGTCTTCAATGCTTAGTTCTGAAAACTGTACATATGACAATACTTCTATAGCATTTACAACACCATCCATCATTTTATCACGGCTTAAGTATAAACCTGGACATTCTAATATAAAATGCAACACAATATCTTTACTTGTTTTCTCACATATCTTACATATAACCAATTCATTCTCACAAGATATTGAGTATTTAAATAACTCTACTAGATCCCATACATGTTGTTGAGAAATTTGTTTAGTGCTTAGTTGCAATATTGGATTTATTCCCGGATCACTATGGATAGCAGCATATCTCTTATGTTCATCACGTGTATTTAGTTTATCTGTCCACCTTATATAATAAAAATCATATATAAATCTATTAATGAAACGTTTCCAGCATAACATCGGTGGTACGAATATATTTAGAACATAGTCATTGATAAATGACTCTATATTAAATTTAACCATTATGTTATATATATCAGGCAGAAATCCTATTTGAGTAGTTGATGAACTACCATACATAAACTGACATAGTCTAATAATAAAAAGTGTTTTCCATAAAAATTTTGGACCACCTAAACACAATTTGTTCCAAAATAATAGTTTCCTTCTCTCCACTTCGCTCCACATATCAAATGACCCTAAACACTGAGCAGTCACTGCTGTGGAGGAAGTTTTAGGAAGACCAATACAACGTCTACATGCATATCTCTGTGTACGTTCCAACTCTTCTACAGCTTGCTTAGTATATGAATTCCAAAGCTCACAACCATACAACATACTTGAATATACAACACTTTTAATAATATTAAAACTTAATACAGGGTTCAGCCCATTGGGGTGAATACCAATACTTAAAAGTGAATTTAGGTTAGTCCTTCCTTTCACACAAGCATCAAAAATACTACTGCTTGATTGTAGGTTATGGGTAAACGTTATCCCAGCGTACGTTTTCTGTGATGTCATTGGAATTATATCGGAACCAATTTTACATTGTATAGGCCCACATTCTTCTGACATCACACGTCGACGTGGGGATTGAAATATTACTAGAGAGCTCTTTGTGGAGTTATAGTTGAGACGCCAACGAGTTCCAATAAATAATTTCCAGCTACGACTGTGTCTTGAACATGCTGTTCAAAATGGCGAGATTCGTCAACTTCGATTCAGACACGATTTCAGAACTTATAGGTTACCTTTGAATGTAAACGAAGTATGCCTATATCCTTCGCAGATTAAACAAGCTATGTGTTATTGTTTTGTACATTTTAAACTGTCGAAAACATTCCGGTTGATGTAAGAAAGCTGCAACATATGTGTTCTGACCAGGTGCTGGTAGTTCCGTTTAAAAACGGACGAGTCGGCCACCCCACAGCAATCTTATGTCTAGCCGCTCATATATATGTATACATGAGTACCTACAAATGGATACATATATATGTACCACCGTGGGGCGATGTACAATCTGAAGCGGTACGCCGTTTTTAGACTGTTCAAAGCTTAAACGGTGGAAAGAAAATAGGATAGAACTGTATTACCACTATAAACTGTACAATACGACCCATAAAATAGGTCCTCTCTCTCATTTGGCGTCAAACCCTGCAAGGTTAGCGCGGGTAAAGGAGGGAGGCCAATAGTGCTATATAGACCTATTAGTTAAATAGGAATAACGAGATAAACGAATAATGAACTAATAATCAATATCTGTTTATCTAACACAGCGAATAGTGTAATAGCAACAATACCGAATCAGCCAAAATAATAAATAAATTATGTTAATCTTACAAAAACTAATAAACATTTATTTAATTTATAAAAAAAAACCTAAAACATTTTAACTTCCGGCTGATGTAAGAAAGCTTCAACGTATGTGTTCTGATCACGTGCGGGTAGTTCCGTTTATAAATAGGACAAGTCTGCCACCCACAGCAATCTTATGTCTAGCCGCTCATATATGTGTTTACATGAGTACCTACAAATGGATACATATATATGTACCACCGTGGGGCGATGTACAATCTGAAGCGGTACGCCGTTTTTAGACTGTTCAAAGCTTAAACGGTGGAAAGAAAATAGGATAGAACTGTATTACCACTATAAACTGTAAAGTACGACCCATAAAATAGGTCCTCTCTCTCATTCGGCGTCAAACCCTACAAGGTTAGCGCGGGTAAGGAGGAAGACCAATGGTGCTATATGAACCTATTAGTTAGGTAGGAATAACGGTATAAACGAATAATGAACTAATAATCAATATCTGTTTATCCTACACAGCGAATAATGTAATAACAACAATATCCAATCAATCAAAATAATAATCAAATTAAGTTAATCTTATAAAAACTAATAACATTCATTAAATTCACAAAAACCTAAAACATTTCACTTCCGGTTGATGTAAGAAAGCTGCAACGTATGTGTTCTGACCACGTGCGGGTAGTTCCGTTTATTAAAAGGACGAGTCTGCCACCCCACAGCAACCTTATGTCTAATAGAGTAAAATACGATGTATATGTGTATACCTGATTTTAAAAATACACGTAAAAGTAAACACAACAGCCACTAAAATATCCTCACACAACCAACTAACCAACCCCTCCCCCTCCCACAAACCATCCCCAACACCACTCCGGTCCAGACTATCAGCATTTAATAAACCCCATAAATCCTTCTGCACATCTCTTGACAACCATCACATCTTTCAACCTCCATCCCCCCTCCAGGTTATAACCCAACTATAACACTAATCCCCCCTTCCCCACCACTCCACACACCCTCCCCGTTTTCCAGTTTTTCCTCTTTACCCATACTAATAATCACACTATTCATTATAAATCATAAATGTCGGAACGATGAGCAGAAAAAAGTGAAAGACAAGTCGAGGTTTATAAGAAAGATGACATTGGTACAAGTATAGTCAGGTTTATTCTCAGTGAAGAATGATGAGGAGAGGAGTACATGGAACGGACAACAAAAAACCAGCACATGCATGACACTAACCACTAATATACAGTCCGTCGGATGGGACTATAAATGGTGACCCGTGTGAGAACGCCGACACAGAGGATAGTGAAAATTTTATCCAAAATTTTAGGCGGTTAGAACTAGGGTCTCTTTATTAAGACATTTAGATGGACTTCCAAATTTTATATACAAGCCAAATTAATAGAATAGACAGGGGCTGGTGTTGCTGGAGGCGGCACAGTACCTCACTTCCGGTCCTGACTTGGTGATGCTGTACGATGAGTGTTAAATTATAGGCATAGGAGCCGTCTTACAAAAACTAGACTTATACAGTTAATATATATAGGATAGACGGCCCCTTCTCTAACCTATCCCTCTCCTCTGCTCTTTTACTCCATACTTTATCCCTTCTACTCATTTTCCTTTCTGTTCTTCGGCTGCTGGATAACCGAAATACTCGGTAGTGAAGCGGACGTAAAACCTATCAATCAATCAATCAATCAATCGGAAAAGCGACTCATTCCTCTGACTGACTTAGAGCAGTGCAGACTTTCTATTTATACCAGACACATCAACCAGAAATGTCGTCTCGACCACTCCAGGGATGGGGAGGCATTTCATAGTAGTGCAATAATTACCATTGCCGATGTTTTTGGGTACTTGAGGTAACTTTACTTACGGTAGATGAAGATATTTGTTTACCTTCGCAACTGTTATGGGCGTGATGCATTATGGGATACTCCCAAAAGTAGACAATATGACCCATGAAGGAAAACTAACTTCGCAGCTACATAACTAATCATATAGTGAAGCTGATTATAATTCACGATACAAGGGAAGCAACTCGAGCTAAGGATAAGTTACTAATTCCGAGATTTCAGACTACTAGATTTCTCCCAAAATACCGTCAATAGTGTTTATATAGCGGTAATGATTATCACATTATATTGTAAATAATACTATCCATTCTTTAATATTATATGAACTAAGTATTTGCATCCAAGTGTTTGTCAACTTTTTCAACTTCCAAGATACTGGATAGGAGCGAACCTGAATTTATGTAACCCGCTCTGTTTCCCTATTTCTCCCATAAAGTGTTTGTTACCACACTTGGCCAGAAATGCGGCGACGGGGTGGAAAACGTTACAATATTTTACAAAATAGAAAAATTACATCATACAGCTGTTTCGTCCTTAAAGTACTTATCGTTGAACTGAAAGGCAGGTCCGTTAAGCCCCTTAATATGACAATATAGTCCTTCATTTAATGCAAAGATGATGATGTGTAGTTATACTGCCTCTAATTCTAAATAACTATCAGTTGTGGTGTCCAGCTTGAATGGTCATAAAGAGTACTTCAGTTTACAAATACTGTTTTCAATTACTGTAGAAATTGATAAATGATAACAGCATTTAAACATTCTAATTTTATACTTGTTTATCAGTTTACTCGCCAACGTCCATTCTTTCTAGGACAATTTAACTCCTTTATACAAAAAAAAATACAGCTATTAGTTTGAAATGCAAATCTCTGGCATAAATTCAATGAAAAATAGTTCAATGTATGACAATAATTTTCAAACTATAAAAATATCCAGTTGAAATATGAAAATATTGAAAGAGGGAGAACAATCATTCAGATAAAAGTTACGTCTTTTGAAAAAATTAAGGTATCAAAATAGACAATACAATGGCATACGGTCATTTAGCATACGCTGTACTATTGGCAACGAGTCTCCAACATGAACACACTCCAGTTCTGCATCACCAATCTAACACCAGGCATGATGCTATCTTGTTATCACTTGTTATCTCGTTTTCTATAAAAGACATATTCATGCACAGTAGTATATATTTTTTGTATTACTGTTTATCTGTTTGCACCAAGTAATTCTCATTTCAAATGCATCGTGGCCTCTTTTCACACAGACCTGTGTGTCTGAGTGTATACATTAAGTATTAAAATTTGTCCATTAGTGTCTATGAATCCTAGAAGGAAGTTACGGATCGAGGCGTAGTACACATTTAGACATCCCCTAGGGCCAATGACGCGACAGTGACAGTGTGGGTTCGAAATATACATCACTATATCGATCGCTTCCGTTACATGGTACATGTACAAGTGGGGTGTTCTCGAAACGAGAACACCCCACTTGTACATGTACCATGTACCACTTTTTATATAACAAAGGAAAATGTTGATTCAGGAAGACAATTGCAAACCAATTATAGTCTGTTTCATACTTACCCCACAGGTAACTTATCTGTGTGAAAGTTACCTTTGTGACTTGTAGTTTTGTTGGGTAAAAATAAGGTTTCAAATATGATTAATTAGCTGTTAAACACCACATTCTTAGTCACACATTACATTCTTACATTTTGTACAAGGACTACAAAATGGATATATTTAATACTGAATATTTATATTTATATCTATGATTAATATTTAAATAATTTTAACATTATACAATTATAGCATGGTGATGAGGTCGATTCATGTATCGACCGAAATCACCATGCTACAATAGTTTTATTATTTTAATTGATATTTTCAAAATTGAAGAAAAAAAATGTAAAAAAATATAGTTTTACATTTTGCTTTCCATTTTTTTCCCAGAATCTATTTATAGCAGGTTGATAACACTATCTACCAACTTTTTTACGAAAATTCCAGATTCTATTTATAGCAGGTTAATAACACTTTTTCTACCAACTTTTTTGAACACCTGTTCCAGAATCTATTCATAGCAGGTTAATAACACTTGTTCTACCAACTTTTTTGAACACCAGGTTAATAACTACTTTTACAGGTGGTCACATGATGTTGTTTCAGTCAATCAGAGTCAGCTCAAAATCAATTAAAATAATAAAATAGTTTTACCGAACGGATATGAAGGCATTGTTAGCCCTTCAGTAAATACCTTAGCTGCATGAGGCATGCACACATCTTAGCAATAAAATGAACTTTGTTCGGTATTCCTATAGGATCAGTACGGAATAGTAGACAATCGACTGATAGCTGACAACCGAATGATGCGCGTTATGAGTATTTGTCCGCAATCCTTTCCAGAGTTGTAAATACCATGACTCTAAACAATCATAAAGTTTATT